AAATTCTTGTACAAAAGAGCAATCGAACTGAAGGTGGAGATAATTCTGTGGCATAAGAGACGAAAGGCGACCCGTTTGAGGAAGGCGAACAGTGCCGTTAACAGTGTTCAGCCGATGGTACCGGTGATGCTGTCAGACAGCGACAAAGTGTGCAGCACGAATGATCGATCAGCGGTCGGTGGCCGGAAGATGGGCAGCAGGACGACTGCTCGAAGACCAACGAATCAAGGAGTTGTGATGCGTGCCGGTCGACTGCTAACGAGGGTGTTGAACGTCGGTGACCGCAAGGTGAACGGCAAAGTAAGGGACACGAAGACGGAAGTGGTGGACGTTGAGGAAATGAGGATCGAGGCCCTTGTGCAACAGTACCAGCTCGAAGAGTACTCAATTCGCGAAACGACCGAAGAGAAGCTTAGCCGACAAATGGTACCCCTGTGGCTGGTGTTGCTCACCATGTTCGCGTACCTGTTCGCCGGCGCGGTGCTATTTGCCGTCTGGGAAAGATGGGACCTGCTTGACTCATTCTACTTCTGTTTCGTGTCGCTGGCCACCATCGGCTTCGGCGACCTCTTCCCCGGTGCGTCGGTCAGAGACGACGGCGAAGCTCAGGAAAAACTAGTGATTACCTCGCTCTACCTGCTGATAGGAATGGCTCTTATTGCCATGTGCTTCAACCTTGCCCAAGAAGAGGTCGTCGACAAAATGCTTCGACTAGCAACTCGACTAGGAATCGTTAAATCTGAAAGTTTCGATACACCTCAACAGTAAGAAAACGCAACGATGAGACTGTCAATCGCCATCCCACCAGCGGATGTGGACCTACTGCGAAATCTTTCACTTATGGTGAGATCGAATGAACGCACTGAACCCCAGAAATCATGTCCCATAATCTAGAGAAACGACCATAACTAATGTTTATTAGAAATTAAAATTGCGTAAGCTTAGAGGAACGTGAATTTCCAATGACATGCTGAATTTTAGAGGTTGTTGCACATGTTGCATACTGCAAAAAATCGAAATTTGTACTCAATCTGATTCCATCATGTTTGCATAGAAAATACTATACATTAAACTGTCTGCCATTAAACTTAAATGATCATTAATAAACTTCAGTATAATGTGAGCAAGCACTGATCATAGCCGGCCTAGCAGGAGAACTGACTGCAATTTTCCATAACCGATATTTTCCTGTGACGAATACCATGAGAAACATGTGAATGATATATCGAGACCAAAAGTTCTTAAGAGAGGTTCGCATAATAGTGTGACCACTATGCTATGCGAATTAGAACTTTCGTCTCGATTACTGTACCATGGACTAGATCTATGCTCTCCTTCAAGACAGTGAGAATGGCTGAGCAGATGCTTCACAGATTTCAAGAAAGCCCACGAAAACAGTACCATCGAAAATAGGAAGAATGGCGGGGTGAATGTTCGGCTACAAAAGAGGGAGGATCATTATATGTTAACTCAACGGCTCAAAAGCCAATGCTCGAATTAATTGTAAGAACAGGATGCCGTGCGGAAAATGCTGATCTGTACCAAATATGTTGTCTTCTATTCACGCACCTTCCATGGACTGGTTCTGTAGGGGCAGCGTAAACACGTAGAGACTTACAGTTGAATCAGTTCAAGCAAGTCGCCTCCTGTTTATAGACGGTCGCGTTATGTCCACTTCATAGTGTTGACCTCCAACCTCTGCTGGAGCGATTCGCTGGCTAGATGCGATGAGACTGGATGAATTTTTCCCATACTAAAACCTGTTTCGTACTCCACAAAAAAATTACCGAATTCGCTATGCAGATAAATGGACAGCAATTCGATAACTTCAGATATGTCATGGCAGCATTAATGAGAATAGCGGACAGGACACTGGTCGAAGAAGTACAACTTCTGATATGATAAATGAGGTTTCTTAGAACGACTACTGGTCTGATTAAACTTGGCAAAGTTCGAAACACGTAATTACAGATATCTCAGTTGAGAGAAGCTCTTTTTTTCAAGTGGAATAATTATAGCTGTTGCTTAATCATGCCATGAGGATGCACATGAAAGACTTCACAAAGAACGCATTCTCTTAACGAAGTATCCGTAGGTCACATGACTTGATTATTAAGAAGACCTGGACCCGGACATGGTATTCGGTTATAAAGAAAACCGGCATTGTCGCACTTTTCAATTCAAACCGTTCAACTTACCCGTTTGCCAGCGGACCGGAACCACTGTAAAGGCTCTCTGAAACTGTGACCAACACGACCCGGAAGAAATAGCACTCAATGAAAACCAATGGTAACATTCGTCATCAATTATTAAAACTCCGCAAATTAAATTAACTGCCTTCCAGGATTAGATATGTGCGATGCAAAATGCTTCTTCAGCCAAATTTAAGAACGCCTTGCTAGTTTCACTTGGTACCGTACTGCAGCGGTCGAGGAATTTCAGCGTCCAGAGTTGTTTCAAGTGAGGTTGGCAAGGCCCCGGTCTAATGTTTTGTTTCACGAAACAGCACCCTCCGTAGGTGCATAAATTTATGTCCTAAAATAATGAACAAATTTTTTGTCCTTTTCCATTTGGAGGAGGCCAGTCAACGAAATTCGTCGGATCTCGTCTAATTCATGCTAAATTTATCGTCTTTCCTGGTGCAGAAATGCCTATTTAATGTCAAAATTCCCGGACATTATCCTCAGAGTCTTTTGGTAGGTTTTACGGAAGTGGAAGTCGTAGAAATTTTAACCATCGTTCAACTCGTCTGTCTTTCTTGGCGCTCACAAGTCCATTCAGTGGCCGGAATTTCAATATTAATACTATGCAGGAAGAGACATTTTTTTGCTTTCAGTTCAGCATACATACGGCGCGGAATAAGAGTATTACGGAATAAGTATAGAAAGCAAGACGACAATAATAATAATGTAAACAGATAAGAGCATTCCTGAAGGTACGAAATAAGTGAGGCACCAATGATTTTCTGTGCAGTACATGGCTGGGTGTCAAGATGAGAAAGTCTACTCGTGTAGAAGTACTTAGAGAGCAACTGGCCTTTAAGTACGTATGAAGCGATTGGGTGACATCACGTAATATATGCTCAGCGGAGAAGACAACTTACATACAACAGCCCAACCAATGGTCTTAGTCACGAGACAAAATTGCATTCCTCCAGATTTAACAATTATTCCAACATATCCCGGTAAGGGAGCAAAATATGCTTTAGCTAAATCTCCTAAACGGACTAGAGAAGCGGAACGGATCACTTGAACCGTCCATCATTCCTTACGGTTTCGACTCTTTTCCTTCAAGTACGGTCCTTGCGTCTATTAATTTAATGTTCCAGGTGGGGTGGTGGGTGACCAAGCGCTCCAGTCAGCTCGTTAAGGTACCAGTCGATAATTACCGCCGGCCTTTTATCATTAATGAGCTTAGTTAAAAGTAGCTTCTTGCTTCTGTTTTCGACGAAGAGGTTCACTCCCGTTTAATGTTTGATTATCAGCGAATGGATGCTTTCTGCGAATATTGAACGCAATCCCTGAGAGTAGGAGACAGAAAGACCTGTAGCAACACGTTAACAGCTCGTGGGAATTGATAATCACGTCTAAAAGATCAGACTTTGCACGCATTAATTCGATCAATCGTCAGACGCCCAGACAGCATTCAACATTGTTTTCGATACAACGGGAATTTTTGAAACACAGAAGGTAAGAAAAATAAATATTACGCATCTACCAACCAGCAGTTCCAGAAAATTAAAACGTTAGCGGCGATGTTTTCTGTGATTAAACACCTGCTATTTCGTAAAGTGGCAGTGAGTTAGTGTTTTTCTGTATTCAACAGCTGAAAGGTGTTGTATAAAGTTAAAATTACTGATCTGATAGGTGGTAATAATCAGCTGGAGCCGAAGTATCGTTTGATATGAGTTTCGTTGGTAGATATACTGGAGAAATATTTGGTCCACTGTCACCGCTGACAAAGTAATTTGACCACTGCGAATCAATCGCATCTTGTCATTCACAGAGTGGTAGGCACCTTTCGGGCTGATTATGCAGCCTGTTCTCATATTCTTCTTATTCAAAGCACTTTTTGACAAGTGGTTATTTTAAGCGAATAATCTAGTCGATGTCTCAACCTCCATCCAATCCAGCAGATCTAAAGAAGCAGAGATACCTTTATGAGGTTTTGGTCATGCACAGGGGCAGACAGTATCTCTGGTCTAAATCGCCAGAGTGAACTCCTGTACCACCTCAAGGAATTCACTTCTGCAGGACCTTCGCACAATAATATGCAAAAAGAAAGAGCCTTCTACTCTTACGCAAAAACAGTGAACGTAATATCACAATCCACATCTGGCAAGTTTACAAACAATGTAAATTGTGGCAGTTGATGACAATTACATGACACATTAAACAGAATCAAAATATCATCGTAAAGAATGATTACCGAAACTGTAAGGTGAGGACTTGACAGAGACTCTATTAATACAGTAGTATAAATAAAGATAAAAAATGTTTATGGAGCTCAATGGTACTCTCCGCAGTAGGTGATAAACATTTCGGGAAAAAATTTCATATTAAAATTTAGGATAACAGATATGATATCGTCATACACACAATGTTCACTCATTTTCACTCACATCGGAATCGAGATATGACGTGACATAATTGGCGTAGCATCGAAATTCGTTACAAAGCTTGTTCTTGTGAGACGGTGCAAACACGCATCGATGCACGTTGTCGTGTTCGAGTATAAACTCTTCCAGCACAACTCCGGTGCAAATGATGAATTTTCCACGTGTAATCAATTGGATCGCCTGAAAAATATTTCGCATACAATTTTTGGACAGGAAAGGTGGATCGGCAATGACCACATCACAGGTGTTTTGAAAATTGCTGAGCTCATCCAGAGAGCCGTTGCAGTCGTAAAAAACGAATTCGCTGCCGTACTTTGCGAATCTTCTGTCGAATTCGAACAGAATGAATTTCACTGAATCACAGCAAAACGTTTCTTTCAATTTTATGAACACTGTCGGTGAACAAATACATCCTATGACGCCCTTTTGATCAACGCACTGCTGCAAACATTCTTTGGCAAGTATTTCAGCCGTACGATCATCGTACCAAAATTGACTCAGTTGCCAATCTTCCTCGAAACCGAAGGTCCTGCTCTGCTCGGCTTCGGCATAAAATTCCAGCAAAGCTGTTAAAGACTGATCCGAAAGTTCACTGAACACATCGCCAGACATCAGATCAGAAAGCCTGACGCTGAAAATATTCGAATTGCTCAGAATAATCTACAGTGAGGCACGGCCTAAAAAATTATATCAAAATTTATATCGCAAAAGAGCATAAATGCAACAACAATAATATCAACCATTGAATGAAACAATATATTAATGTAAACGAGAATTAAATACCCAAACAGAATACAGCTGTCAGTTAATATGACAAAGTCAACATGAAGCAAATCTGTGAATAACACCTGTGCTAGAGAAACACAGCATGATAAAAAAATGAATAAATGACTGAGAAAATGCCAGGATAATGAAAACAGCTACCATAAACTGTTAATCTAACAACCTAAAATAATAGCAGCCTAGGAAATGAGTTATAAAAAGTGCTGCTGTTATGTAATGAAAAGCTGACAACAAACGGTCAGGATCGCATAAAAATTATGCTTCTTTATTCTTTAGCCTCCGCTTATGCGAGATGAGGAGGAGAAACTGTTAGAGAAGAACTGGCTGTGCTCGAGCTCACAGGTGACAGTTAGGAGCGAGACCATGCCTCACAGAGCCGTCACCTGGAACCCTTCGGTCTGGATGAAGGGCAACCAGGCGTTCTGTTGAAGACACCCCGCAAGCAGCCAAACAAAAAGGTCAAGGGCGAAAACAGCAAAAATAAAAATGGCCCCATTGCCCGTTTGCACCTTGGGTTCAATTACGGCGGACAATCTCGCATACCTAATGAACTACTACGACGAACTTCAGCAACGACGGATTGATTACCATGGGGTTGCAAGCACCCAACTGGAAGACTTCATTTCAGATGAGCTAAGAGAAAGATATACAATTCTGGGGCGAAAAATTACATGAGACAGAGGAGCATGGTAATCGGCACGGACTAATGATGATCCGGTTAATTACAAAGTAGGATCAGTCAATTTCTATTGCTACTGTTTATTCTTAGGCTTCAAACAATGCCACAGTTTACTCAAGAATGGAAAATCTGTACTACTACAAAGTCACTTTCCCTTACACTTTTCTGACGCAAAAAACAACAATGTTTGCACTTCTGGAAATGTGGTGAGTAGCTGATGCCCGAACAAATATCCTGTGGTTCTTGATATCTGAACCATGGTGTCACGACCCTATATTTTGCATCACAGTGTGAATCCAGGAGGTACCACAGGTAGGCGATCAGGGTCAAACACCAAACCTCCAAATGGTGAAAAGAAGTATGGACATATTTAACCCTTTACGACATCCAGTAAGTCAGTAGGTTAAAAGTTTACCATGCAACAATCAGCGCGACTCTTCTTTAGGTGAGCGTACCGCGCGCGATGCCGATCTACGTTGGCATGGTATCAACCAGAGCACCTTATAAACGCCATGACTTTAGTTAGCATGAGATACAAGCACATCGTCCAATTTCACCTGTATGCATTCATTCCTCAAAGTGGTATTCGTTTACACAATTCGAAAGGCGAGTGACCCTGCCATGAATCGACCCACGATCTTTCGACTGTGAATCACAAATTCACCTGATAGAGTCATATTGACCAACTCAAACTGTACACTTAATCATGCTTCAAGTTACCTTTTCCGACTTTGATCGATTTTAGTAGTGTCAGAGTACCCAAGCCTGTCAGTCCAGTCTATTTTTCCGTCCACAGGTCAATTTCGTCTCGCATGGAAGGAACACAATCTTAAAATTAAAATTAATCGTTATTTAAATAAACGGTTTACACCAAGCATTGAATTTTAGTAAACTATCAAGTTGGTCAAGGAGAATTGCATCCATAAGACGCAGGCAGACAATATGACCATAAGCATCGTACGCTATGGCATAACCACACCAAAAACAGCATGTTGTTGTCAGTTGTACGAATCAACGAATTGCTACTCGTCACTCGACTGCTAAACCGAAGAACACTGGTGTGAATACCTTGCAGTAAATAAAAACATTTTAGACCATGTTAGGCAACAAAGACAAATCATCTTCCAATGCACAACTGGAGCCAAGTCAACATTTTTCACTGAAGTATCCAGTGCTACGCAAAAATACTGGGCATATTGCTACATTTTCTGGCTTCAAACACAAGAACAGCTGCGAGCTACAAAAGAACTTAGGAAACTAAGCCAACTATCCATCTTGAACAAGGCTTGTGAGACATGGACCGAAACGTCGGTGCGGGTCAATCATCTGACTGAACAAATGTTTGCCTTGTATATTACCAAACCGAGTTTTATGCTGTTTTCGGTAAGACCATCAATGAACGAACGAAATACTCAACACTCAGGTATACTGTACATAACAAACTAAAAGGGGTCGACCATTTAAGAGCTACCTTCGCACAGAATTCGAGTAATATTTGTATCATTTGATCCGAACAGAAAGATCGGAAAGACACCAGCGGACTGGAGAACGGGTGTTATTGTACCCGTATTCAAGAAGGGAGACCACAAGGAA